GGAAAGTTTTTTAAGCATTTATCCATATTGACTAATCTCCTTTGCGTAGAACATGCGGTACACACATCTGAGGGGTTACACTGTATTAAACTATTCATATAAAACACTGACTTTATTTTTCCGACTGAATGTTCCAAGTATATATGTAACATTTTGAAAACTCACTTCACACCATCTTCACTGAAGCTGGTTGAGGGCAAGACTGCATTTGTTTTCTAGGAACTAACCTTCTCCTAGCATAATAGGTGTCCGAGATTGTGGCTGCATCTTAGACTTTAATTTGGACTAATGTAAGAAGCTGGCTGTAAATCTGTTGCTGATGTTGTCACTGACATGGGTGTTGAAGTTGACACTTGAAAAATGTAGAAGCTAGTATTTTGCACCAGCTCATCCAAGGGGTAGGGCTGTGGGGCACTGCGTTTTGCCACATCATTCCTACCAAGCTTTGGGAATTCTGATTATCTTGGAAGATTTGCCTTTCCTTCTGCCTTTCAAATATATGCATAATGAAGGATTTGTGGATACCTTGCATTCACACATTTCTTTGGTATATCATCATCCTGGAAAATCTGATTTCATACATAACTTACATGCGGTATTTGACTTCAGTAATGAATTTCGGTAATACAATTTTCTCCTGGATACAGTTTCATCTCTCTAGTAATGTTAACACATTTATCACGCATTTTAATTCCATTGTAATTGGTAAATCTAGTGGTCTTGAATTCCCATGTGACATCAAACACAATCATCACCATCATCAGGGGGCTAACGCCAACGGGGGCGAATAGCTGCATCCACCCTTCGTTTCCACCTATGAGGATTCCTCATGGCAAGCCGCCAGGTAGGGACTCTGCCCAGCTCGAGGTCCTCACGACAGGCTTGATCAATCTGCCCAAACCACGACTTCCTAGGTCGTCCCACAGGCCTACTCCACCTAGGGCTGCCTCATACAGAGACAATCTGGTGGGCAGGATCATCCTGTGGGAAGCGAGCCAGGTGGCCGTACAGCCTGAGTTAGTGATCATGGATTGTCCAACAGGTCCTGTGCCAGTCTCACAGTGCAATCATTGGTTGGATACATAGTCCCGCTAACAATACCCCATGAAAGACGAGACTCGTAGGCGCAGGATAATGGCTAAGTTTCACTACCATATAGTAAAACTGGCATTATCAGGGCCTTGAAAACGCGTAGCTTGGTCTTTCAGCACGGGCACCGGCATCTCCAAATACTCTTGTTGAGAGGGTTCATGGCCCCTACTGCCAGGCCAATCCATCTGCTGACTTCCTGGTCTGACAGCCCTTAGATATGAACTACACTACCAAGGTATGTACATCTCTGTGTGACTTCAATATCCTTACCACAAGCATGTGCTGACCGAACAGGTTCTCCTAGCAAGTCCCCAAGTTCTGGATCTTGGTTTTGGACCGGGAGACCTCTAGACCCAAGGGCTTTGCTTCATTGCCACCACTAAGGTTTCCTAAGACTCAGATAGAATAGCAACATCATCAGCAAAATCAAGGTCAGTAACCTTGATATTGCCCAACGTTACTCTACAGTAGTTCTGCCCAGTATTCAGTCCATGCAAGTGTTGAAAAGTGATGGTGCAAGTACACAGCCTTGCCTCACTCCTGAACTAACAGGAAAGAAGCTCGACAGGCCCCAACACACTTTACAGCACCTTCAGTGCCAGTATACAGGCTTGCTATTAGTCCAATAATCCTTGGAATTCCTCTCAGTCTCAGGATTTCCCAGAGTGATTCCCAATGCACCGTATCAAACGCTTTCTTGAGATCTATGGAGGCTGCAAGCAGCCCACGCCCGAACTCAATGACTTGAAGCGCAAGGATATGGTCTATTGTGGA